GCAGCGTAATTGTAAAATCGAATACACTAATTTTCTATTTACTGTAATCTCGTTTGGATTCTGTTTTTCAATAGTAAAAGAATTGCGTACGACATATATTTTTTGGGCTTCTGTTTCATGCTCTGTTACCCTGTCATTCAGATCGTCAAGATCTGTAAATTTCTCGCCAAGTACTAAAAAAGCCATAGTTTGATGACAATTTTGTTTTTGAACGGAAATATGCAATCACGAGATATCCAAGCAAACTACAATGCCGAATAAAATTTAATTTTTAACAGAATGACAAGTCAACAAACATTGAAGAATCTCAAGTGACGCCTACATATTATCCACGTTCGAGAAAATTTATAAGTTTACCCTTTTTACTAAGATTTAAATGAAAATATAGCAACATGTGTGAATGAAAGCAACACCATTTGCTAAGGACAAGTACGAGAAAGGGATAATTGTTTACTTACTACAGCAGGTTATTATTACATCTATATCACATTCGTATGTTAGAAAGAGATGTGCGTATACCCATTAATTCAAGTGTTGCTTTTAAAATGTTAAGCTCTTTATATTTTCAATTAAGGCGCGAAGAGGTAAGGTTATTTATTTTACAATTTTTCTTATAAATAATAACATAATTCTTTATTAAAGATTAATTGGATAATTCAGACCCAGTAGTAGAGTAGAAACAGCTAAAACCCAAGAAATGGGGTGAGATAAAAACATTAGCATATACATATGTACATATGTATGTATGTCTAAATGTGCATGCTATATTGAATCTAGTTTTATGTGTATGTGTGCGTGAGCATAAAGTGCAGCATCCATATCTGCATTTATGGTAATCTGTTTATTAACTGTCTATTAACTTTTCGTCCCAAACGGTGTTTCTTCGTCCTAAAAATATTAAAAACAAAAACGAAAACGTCTAAGTCAATAAAAGCAACAACAAAAAGCTCAAAGTCCAAAATTATGTAGGGGTAAAAACAACAAACACGAGACCGAAGGTTTGTATGTTGTATGCAAATCGCAATTTTGTATGAAAAGTTCTATTTTTGTTTAATTGTTTAACTCTTAATATTTTAAACTTATTTTTAGTTAGGCAAAATTAAAGTTTGATTGTATTAAGTGTTTACAAATGAACAAGTACAATTACTTTCGATGTGTATATACATACATACATTTGTAAAATGAATTGAAACTACCAATTTCCACGTTTAATATTTGAGAAAGGAATGATAGCTATTTATATAAAAAATGTATATATGTAAATTGTTTTTTTATGTTTTTAATAAGCAAATAAAAACTTAAAAATTGAGTAACCATCCAAACTAACCAAGGCGAATTCAGATAAGATGAAGTTAGTAGTTTGTCAGCCTATGTATATAAGAACGAGACAACAGTAAAATTCAAAAACTAAAATTTCTGGCTTCTGTAACTGCCAAATTGTTCTCACAATCATTTTCGGTCATTTTACTTATCGTGGCGTAAAATAAAGTAGTATAAAGTTTTAATTTATTAACTTTCGGTGTATATCTTTGCGTGGCCAGCGAAAAATGTCGACTGAAAACATGATAAACGTGAGTGTATTTAATATTTAAATAAGTGGTAAATACAACCAGTGCCNCCAAGGGAAGGGACAAACCGAAAGAGAGCGATTCTGGTGTTTGCGGCAGCCGCAAAAAATCTTCGCTCTAAATTTCTCTTTTTATTTTACCAAAGAGGCCACCCTACGCATTTCTCATACACTTATTGTGTACTTATCCCGCACTTCTCGTACTCTTTGAACACTTCTCGTACACTTTGTACACAACACATACACTTAGAGTACACATATTGTGCACTTAGTGTGCGAATAGCCACTCCCATGAAAAAAATAATAAATAAATAATAAATAAAATAAATTAAAACCATGTGAGCTCAAGTGTAATGATGAAATTAATAAAAATATGAAGTGAAAGATAATAAAATGATTGTATTTCACGAAAATTTGCAAAAATAATTAATTTTTACCGGCTAAATGAATCTATTGATTTTCCAGTTCCTTGATTTACTTATGAAAACCACAAGTCATTGTCAAGATTTCCATTATCATCTGCTTGTGTAAACACATAAAAATATGTGATATTGAAAAGAAAATCGCCAAAAGCATGGGCGTATAAATGTCAGTCAATGGCTAAGCCTGCAATTGACAACAAACAGACTGACAGTTTGGCAAATGTGACACACAATGTGGCAGCAAGCTTTTCAAATCGAAGACAAAATGTTTAATACCGTTAGCGATAATTATGTAAAATGCTACTAAATAACTGTTTAACAATTTCCGAATTGCCAGAGTAAACGAGTTGCTGCATATCCGTAATTTACATCTAATATATTATACGAGTATTTGTAAGTATGTATACATACGTATGCAAATAAATACTTATCACAGCCGTCGTAATGTATGTATGTACGTGTAAGTAGGTGCATTTATTTAAAGAAAATGCGGATTAATGCGGCAAGATTATTTGCCACAAACTAACATACATACAAATTTAGCCAACAAACAAACCACGACAACTAAATGTCAATGAGTTGCTGCGATATCCATTAGCAATGAAACTAATTGTAATTGTTGATAGTTGATGTTGGTGTAATTTCAATAAGAAGTATAAATATATCCTACACACATCCGAGAATCTACTCACTGGATGTCATCCATTTTTTCAACTTACTAATTAGTTCTTTAGCTGCCGATATTTTGCCGAGGGGCGAGACGTGCCCTCGTCATGGGCAGAACTCGCAATTGCGAGAATTGCTCCTCTTCTAACTAGCTCGTCTTTCCCACAACTCTTTGGGATTTCTCTAAGAACCCAATCCACCTTTGAGGTGGTGTGATTGCTTTGAGGAAACTGTTAGACAGACAGCTGTGTTACTATTTTGGAGTAAATTAACTCTCATGGTCAAGTGGATTGCAAGTGGTACTAAGTGAACTCCACTGAGTTACATGTAGCATAGCAACTTGTATAAAATTTACCTTACAGCCTATCGGAACTTTCAAGGACTTTGATTCGAAGGCATCGCTTCTGTAATGAAGATGGGGGGCATCCAATTTTGGGTCTTAGTACATATCTTTTACAGATTGTCGTCTTCGAGACGTAAAGCTCAGCCATGACCTTCCTACTTCTTTCTATCGTATCTCCGTCCCAGTTGAGTTCATATCTAAGTTTATTGCTATGTCTCTAACCTCGGGGAAAGGGTAATATAGATAGGGGCTTTTGAGTAAGGTCACTTTAAAATAAATTGGTTTGTACCTTCTGGAATGGAGTATCAATTCGATGTTTGTAGAATTTCCATCAAGAACACAATCTGTGCAGTAATTGCTTCATATGTAAAAAGCATTTTCGGAGCCTTTTAGAACCACATAGAACTCGTAGGTGTTTATGAGTTGCTGTGGGGGTATATCATTCCCTAGCTTATGGCCCTACATCACAACCTGTGCTTCTTAGCTTGTGAAGAAAGGTTTTGCGACACGTTTTGAGAGACATTGTAGTTTCGCCTTTGTCCATCTATAGGGAATGTGCTCTATTTCTGCGTTAAGAAGAGATTAGTGTTTCCGCAGGAAGTAGCAGTATTTAATTGCTTATTCCACCATATTTGCGGCTAATTAGATTTAGTATATCATGTTTATCGTTGTTTGCAAGCTCTAGTGATGCTGGAGAAACTGACGTTCTGCAGAGCATACCGGAAAGTGAGTGGTCATTAGAATATCTATTATTTTATATTGTTGCGAAAATGCGAGGCGAATGTCAGATGAAAGAGAGAAGCCGATAACTAGTACGTTCTAGAAACGATAAAACAAGAACCTTCCATAGCGAACAATTCGATGCTTCTACGCTTTCGTCTGCGAGCAGCCGACTGCTATATAAAGGCGACACTCAGCTGCAAGTCAAGTTAGTGATAAAGTAAACTCGTTGGCGTTAACATCAGTAAAGTCGTAAAGTAAACGTGTTGGGATTACATTTAAGTAGAGTAAATTGTGAAAGTTGATGATAGTGATTGTAAATAGTAAAGTGTATTGTAATTGAATTGTGAATTACGGAGTAAATAAAGGACATTAGATTAATTCTTTATAACGAAAGATACTGCAAATTGAATTAACGAGTTTTTATTTAGCAATCCAGAGATCGTACCCGAAGGATTTAGAAAATAATCGAGGTTGATTTAGTAAAATCGTAACAATATTATCTAGCATATTTGGTGTTGTCCATTCGTCGTTTGGTTCAAAGGTTCAAAGCTCCGCCAGTGTTACCAAAACTTTAAAATCCGAGTTAGGGTCTATAATAAGTAGATGACAGCGACATCTTGTGCCCACTTTTTTATAATTTCCAATAATTGGTGTTATTTTGGTATTAAAAGAAACTTTTGCCTGAAATATCGATGGCTTCGTTGTTTGTGTGGCACGAAGCGCCGCCTTGTTGAAAGTAAACGTTGTCCAGGTTAATACCATTAATCATCTTCCGATAGTGGAAGCCATTCATTTATTTAATGATTTTTCGATAAATTTCCGCATACTTTTCATGTATTTCAAGAACCGAAGCAGCAGAGGCCCGACATTGTTTATGATCAAATTTAAAATTCACCTCTTATTGGAAAACTATTTATATATACATATACGTCCTCTGGTATTAACGCTGTTCGATGGGAAGTCAGTAAAAATTAGGCTTTACTGCCCTTTTGCCTTGCTGAACTCAAAGCAATCTCATCGAACAGGACTTATGACACGGAATTGATGAAGGACACTATTGTGAATTTCGCTCGTTTGCACTGTATATTATATATATATATATATGAATATATTTATATTGATGGACTATTCCCTAACCACGGGTGAATTCATGAACCGCTACCTGCAGGGTTATACAATCATTGTTTTTCGACAGACAGAGAAGATCGAAATCGTATAGAGACCATTTAAAACCTGTATTTTTTCTTTCTCATAAAATAAATTTCAATACCAAAACAAATCTATAGCCAAGGTGTTTTATTGAATAATAAATATCATGTTATTTTCTCCAAATGCAGTCCGTTACAAGTATGTATGTATTTGTGATTAAATTCAAGTTAGTCGCCATCTAGGCGATCATACATATGTGTAAATATCTTTTCAAATTATTCACCAAATATTTCCTTTTGTTGTTTTTTGAATTATTGGTTATTTAATCTATGGTTAAGTCTCATTCAAACGAAGTTAAGAGGGTTTAAATTATTTTTCATTGTGTAAATTGTATTATCGTTTATGTATTTCCTCATGTTTATTTAGGAGCGTGTTAAAGGCACACGTTGAAGCCCGCTTTTCGTTATACTAAATTGTGATGAAAATTTATAAACATTTTTATTTTAATTTTAATTCATATGAATGGGCTTTAACCAACGATTAATGCAACCTTCAACATTCATTATCACTAATGTTCGAAAAAGAACAAAACTATATATGCTTCGCTTTTTTATCTTTTGTTTTACATATAATAATCGAAACCAAAATTTGGCGGCTGTAGATGATCCGGATTAGGGTCTGCTCGCAGTATACGTCCGTCTGGACCAATAGGATCGTAACGCGGATTTAAACCAGCATTGAAGTTAGGACGTGAGGGCATCGGAAATAGATTACCAGGACCACCCCGACCCAAAGGATCTAAGTCGCCGCGTCCAACGTCGGGAAAACCAAAGGGGCGCGGCTCCATTGGAAAAGAACTGTAAGAAGTATAGGAAAATATTGAAGCATAAATATGTATTTATATAAAAAAATAAAAATTAAAATTAAGAGCTCTACATACTTTACACAAGCTAGCACACAAAGTGAAACTGCGGTATAAAAAAAAATCGCAGCCTGCATGATATTATATATGTATGTGCATAAATATTTGTGCGAGTAATAAAAAGGTTTGGTTTTGACGACTAAAACTAAAAACGCGATTTTAAGCACACAAGTGATAATCGCAAGAGATTTCACCTATACAATTTTTTAAACGTTTTTTTCGAAAATTCTTAGAACGAATTATATATGTTTCTTAAAGAAATAAAGGCCTTATAATGGAGTGACTAATAAGCTAACAAAATCACTTAAGTTCAAATCCAGCTTCTTGATACTTAAAAAGTTATCATGAAATAAACTTCGAAGCTAAAAGCTTTTTTAAAGCGAGAAAGAGATCGTGTATTCTTTAGGGATATATACAAATGACATACATGTGTTATACCTGTGTGCATATACACATGTACGTACATATGCGCAAAACAAGAGTATTTTTGGGCTTTTAAATATCAATTTTTTCTTAATAAAAAGAATTTTTTGGGCGAACTATTAAAATCATCGGAATGCCTCTTCTAAAAAAAAGTACTTTTTTTGGTATTTCAAACGTGTATAAATTAGTTTTGTTTCGGTTAGAAAAATATTATTGTGAACGCGCGCAACAGTCATTGTCATAAACAGAATTATTAAAACACGTATGAAATTCCCTTTACTATGTGAAGAACCGTTCATGTAAAAGTATTTTATATAACAAAATACAAAATTACCTGGTATATAAAATTACAACTACATACTATAACTTACCCCATTGGTCTCATTGGTCCGCCTATTGCCAGGGGATCTCTGTAGTTGGAAGGACGCATTTCTTGATTTACATTTGTTTGTGTAGTCACCTCTCGCGTATTACCCGTGAAAACCTTAGCAAAATAAAATTTTGTTCTATAATGTTATACGCAGCGCATGTTTTAATAACTATTTTAATTACCGGATCAACTAATTCTTTACGATAACGATCTGAGATTAGTGACGCATCGGGCAGGAGCGTGTTGAGCGGACCTTTAAGTTGTTTTACCCATTCTTGTGGATTTAAAGTTATATTGGTTACTTTTGTGTCCTTAACATCGAGTAAATTTATTGTAATAAAGTCTTCTGTATTATGTCCTATTAGCAGATACAAACGACCATTATGTAAATAGCGCAAAGCATATCTTTTGCCACGGTCATTCCAACCATCTGGTAATAGTTCTGATCCAACATCTTCGGTTGAAATTGTTTTCTTTAGTGTAAAAAAAATTAGCAAAAAATTAGAACATATTAGTATAAAACAACATGTAATGATATACACATTACTTACATCTTCGCCAATGCCAACGCATTGCATTTTGTAATGTTTCACCAACAAGAAATGTGCTAACGCTATCAACACGTCTGACTTCTTATCGACAATTTTTTCGATTGTTTTATATAGTAAATCCCAGCCGAAAAAGTCGGTGGCCGTTGCACCAGCTGCCGAGGATCCTGCTCCTCCAGACGACATGTCTGCGAAAATTTCGAAGCAACAAATTAGTTGCTATAAAATGCTAATCTCTGATTGGTTATATTTCGGTTATTTTTTTGTATAGATATTTAAGAAAATGTTAGTAAGTTTGACATTTTTTAGTTTAGTTTAAGTTAATTTTGTAATAAAAAAAAAGATATTTATAAATAAAATGGCATTTTAGAATTTCACTCATTGAGTGAAGTCATTCATACATGCTTCAAAATCAAGTTGCAACTAAACGTGCTGGTTAGCAAACTATTGCATTTAAACTCTTTTTATCATGGAAAAGTTAAATGCATTTATATATGTACATATATTAAAAAAAAAAAAAATACATACAACCATACGAAACTATCCGTATTGTGTTAGTTAATATTATGAAATGCAATATCAAATGAATTGTGCTTTTGTACTTGCTTTAACAACCGATTGCGTTGTAACTTCGCTTTAAAAACTATATGTAGTAATGTTCCAAGAGTAATAGTAATGAAAATAGGTGTATAATTATTTCAATAACTCCCTAGTATATATTCTAGAACTTATATATCTTTAAATTTGTACAAAATAAATAAGAGCAAATGGTACCGTATAAAATGATAACAACAAATATTACAATCTCACGCAAAATACTTCCTCTTGATGAAGTAGTCATTCACAATGATAATAAAACAAATAGTATGCATAAAAGTGTCTCCAATTTTGATTAAATTTTGAATTTCAAGTATGCTTATGCGGAAATACTCAAAATACATAGGTAAAATATAAATTCCAATGTGAATTAACACAAAGTTACTATAAAAAAATCTATGTGGTGTTCACCTTATTAAAAGTTCGAATTAATACGAATTGGGTATACAAATAAAGCTGTTGAGACAGTAAGCAAAAAATGTTTCTAATGTAATGTATTTTACGACATTTACAGGCCTATTCTAACTGTAAGTGAATTTTGTTACTTTTCTTTAACACCCGAAAATGAATTTGGTATTCTGGCGAACTGGTTACAATGTTTGAAAAAAATTTGGCAGCACTGCTTTTTTCGTCCATGGCAAATTACATTTGTCAGTCGATAAAGTAAAAAGAAAAATATTTACATCGAAATGAAAGACGGTGCACAAAAAAATTCAAAAAGTTTTATTAATTTGTTTATTAAATCATAAATATTTGAGCCCAATTATGGAAAATATGCCAGGACAACAAAAAAAGCTGAATGAAAACGTTATCTTACAAATTAAAGGGTTTTTTTTTAGTCTCGAAAACTTCTTAACATACGGCTTTTTGCACTTTTTTCTTCATTTTCAATGAATTCCAGGCCTAAAATATGCCTACCCAATTTGGTTTTTATTTTTTCTGAAACTAACAACACAAAATCAAATAGCAGATATTTTTGTTGCCATGATCTTTCAGTATTTGAGAAGTGTTATATAAAAGAAATTAGGGGCCAAATACTCTGGAAAACATTTTCAGATTAGTTAGGTTGAACTTCCATAGTTGTATGTATTTTAAAACAAAACTATGTTCAATAGTTCATGTATGTATACTAAATTAAATTATTTAGAACAATTTACAAAGACATCGTTTCTTCCCCTTCCTCTTACAACCCCGAAACTAGTAGAGCCAATTTTTTAAAATAAGATTTGAAAAAAAAAGCTTCTATTTACTAGAATCACACTCTGGCATATGATCTTCACAGTGGTTCTAGTAAGGGATCTGAAGCTTTATATAATATTATTTTAGTTTCCTTTTTTATAATTGATTTTTAATAATCAATCGCCGTGGTCCAAATGCTTAATCTTTAGGACAGATGTAAAAAAAAGTTCATATAAATTCTACTTGAACGGATCCACTTATGTGCACTACCTATCTACCTTTGGTCCAATGGTATATCTCAATATGGCGCGTAAATCGAAATACACACGAACATTACACGAATGTTGTCGAACTAATGACGTTTGATATCCGCTCACTCGCTCGCACACGGTTTTCTGACTTCTTCCAGCACATGACCGGCAATTCAGGCAGCGATGCGAATGCTGTCGAACAAGTCAGCCGAGCTACAGTAGTGAAAAAAGAAAATAAAATGCTTTGTACGAAAAAGCAAAATTTCGTCGCCATATTGAATCCGAAGCGAGTGGTGTCAAGTTGTTAAGTGTAGAGAGAAAATTTTGCAGATTTTCAATTCACTTTTCATTTGTAAATTATTATTATTAAATAAACAATAAACCACAGCTAAATTGTATACATAAAACGAGTGTGTATGTGTGTGCGTGAATGTGTTTCTAAACGCATTTGCTTTGTGAACACAAAAAAGCAATAGTGATAAAGTTGGTGTGTTTGTTAAGAATCAACGCTTTGTACGTCGATCAGTGTGCGATGGTGTGCTGAGCTCGTGGGGATTTGGTAAAAGTGTCGCATTTGCTGAAATCGCAACCTAGTCAATTGGGAGAAGAATTTCATTTTACTTGTGTATAGACGCACAACAGAGGATTGCATACATATAACATTGCTTGTGCCCTGAACATAACCTAGACGTGTGTGGTCAAGATGGAGGAGAGTACCACCGCCACAACGGCGGCCCCAACGCAGGCATCTTCCACCAACGACAGCGAGGGTAAGTAGTGTTGCCAGAAGCTTCGTCTAGGGACGTCAATAAATTTGCGATAAGACTTTTCCGACATTGCAATAATAAAACCACTAGGCATGTCTTATCCAGAAATAGCACTAACTTGATTGATACAGTTTATTTTACTCGGCATGCCTAAAAGTTTACCATGTTTTACATCACATACTACTACGTACTTATAATTGTAAGGATCTAAGTTTAAAAAAATAATTGAGTGAACTTGCAATGATAATAATTTAAACACATATTTTAATACATTATTAAATCGATTCACAATTCTTTAGTACAGCAAAGTAAATTATATAAACTCGTCGCTATTATTTAGGTGGCAATGTGGTTGGTGTCGAGTTTGTGGAATTCTTTTGACCCCATCTTTGTAGCATATTTCCGAACCATTTACAAAGAGTTGTATTTCGGTTCCTAACATTCGGCAATGATTCACGAAGTTATATCCATCTTCGCCGTATATAGATTTAGCCAGAGCCCAAACCCAATGTCGCTTTCGACTAAAAGCTTTCTGAATTCCGTCTATAGATGGCGCGCTGCAAGAATTGATAAGAGCTTCCGATGTTATTTCGATATACAACACCCGAAGTGGATGAGCTTTCGATTTACGGGTATAAAAGTTTCATAACTTTATTTGACCTATTTCACGATGTATATAATGATCACAACTATTTTGTTCGTTGGTACCCATTAAGCAGTCATGCGCAAAATACTAGCATCGTGACGGAAATTTTATTCTCAGGGATATTTAATTAAACTTTTTCGCCTCATAACACTAACTTCTACGTCTTAATACGTGTCGTAACGGAAATTCATATACTTCCGATGGAACTCATGATCTGCCATGAATTTACACTGATGGTTTTAAGGTGTTTTCCGCCGTATCTTCAGGTTCTTCTCTAAATTTGTCTGCCATTCTGATAATCCCGGTGGCAATTTTTGTGATTATCTTTAATGAGAAAAAATTAAACCGTACATTTTAATACCTCATAGTATAAAATGATCGAGAGCTATCGATCTTTGTATAACACTATATGGAAGCTCGTGAGAACTTAGTACTGGTTGTTTCGGTTATTTGTAATAGATCAGTAGTAAATTTGTTTTTATTATTGTTCATATAAAAACCGTTTTGCATTTTAAAAAAGTTAGCTTAAAGAGTCATCTTTCAGAGAAAAATTTTTATTAATATTTTTTTTATGAAGTAATTTCTATATTTATAAGTATATTTTTCGTTTATATAGAAAACTACAATTTCGATTCGAGTTTATCCGAAGAGGAGCGTCGTTTCTATCTAAGAGCATATCCGACTGTGGATTTGGTGCGTGAGCGTAAAGTTCACTGCACCATTTGTAAGATGCATATCGGTACAGCACCATGCCAAGAGGAAATCATAAGAATGCATCCAGTGCTGCGCGTAACACACTGTGTGAAATGCCATGAATTTTACAATAGCGGTGAATTCAGTAAAGGCGAAGATGGCTCCGAGTTATATTGTCGGTGGTGTGGACAAGGTGGTGAAGTGTATTGTTGCTCAAGCTGTCCATATGTATTTTGCAAATCATGCATTGTTAAGAACCTTTCACGTGGTGTTGTTGTTGATATTGAACAAAACGAAAATTGGAACTGCTTCAGTTGTGCACCCAAAATATTATGGCCATTACGAGCGCAGCATTGGGCACTAATACGTTTCATTGAAAAGCAAAAGAAGTAAGTTTGTTTAATTCATATTTCGAAGCTATATGCTAATAACATCCTCTATATTTTTTTTTTTTTTTAGAACTATTGAAGAATGTCAAAGTAATGAATCTGCTAAAAAAGTCCTATATCAGAAGGACGTTTCAACTTGTTGTCGTTTGGCGAAATCAAAATGCGGTAATATGTCCGATTCAAATGAAAGTTTGGATTCGGCCACATCGCGTCGTAGTCAAAGTGGCTCCAGCACAAAAAAACCAGCAAAGTCGCCAGCACAAGCTCCCGCTCCTAAACGTATAAAAACTTCAAACGATGAAGTAGTTTGTACGCCCGATTTGTTGAGCATGTTGGAGCCGGATTGTCAGATTACTGTGCAACAGAAAACAGGTCATACATCCTTACCAATGACATCGACACCGAAAATGTTATCTCTGCAAACTCATTCATCGTCTCCGAGCGGCATCACTTTGAAGCCACACAATAATACGCCACCGCCATTGGTCCTGCGTAACACTGGCCTACCGATGCGGCATCCATCACCTGCACCGATTGTACGACGTACAATTATTGGTGCACGTAACACCACAAATACAGGGCACACACCTGTCTATCACACTATCAATGGTTATCGTATTGATTTAAATTCAGCAGCTCAACAAGAAACCTTCCGCTTGCCAAATGGTAAACTAATCCAGGTGAAACGTCAAGGCACAAATCCGACACAGCACAACACGCCGTCGCCGAACAATTCCTGGATGCGACAAGCAAGCCCAATAACCATACAGCATGCGGGTAGTGGACGTCCTGTACAAATAACACCAACAAGTTCACAATATTATACAGTGCAGCAACATCAGCAACACCAACAAAATTCTATGCCACACGCGCAAATGATTCGCTGCTATAGTAATTCTACATTGACGAATGTAGGTAGTCAAAATGGCGGTGTCAGAGGTACACAAATTCAGTTGATTAATGGTGTGCCTGTAGCGCCAACGGCTACACCAGCATCGGTAACCACTGCCAACGCTACGACTGCAGTACGTGCACCTCTCATGGTGCGTCACGTCTTCCCCGACACTGCCATTGGTCAAGCGCGTTCACAGCTACAGGATCAAGTCTTCAATGCCATGGAGATATGCCAGCATCTCACTGGAAAAGTGCAAACGCTAACCAACTCGAATGCCTATAAGCAGGCACGTAATTATCTTGAAGTCAAGGAGCTCTATATACATCTCTCATATCTGTTGACTTACGCCATTGGGCGTTTTAAGGGACTTCAAGATAAATGTTTAGGAGATATGCGTCAATTGGGTTTCGTTAATGATGCGGATAGTTTGGAAAATGGGCAATTGGCAGCAGGTAGGTGGTGTTTATGCTACGAGAACATAATATGTAGTATTAAGTATCAAATTTCGCGAATTTCAATAATTTCAAAAAATGTATTGCTGCAAAAAATTTAAAATACGAATCGAGTGCAGAAAGTTGATAGTTTTTGAAGCAACAAATTTTGGGACTCGAAAATTTTGAATTCAAGAAAAAATTAATGTTGGTTGAAAATTAATTTCGTATTAATTCTTTTAAGTTTCAACATCATTCAAAACCTTAATTTTTAAAGTCAAGATCTCTCATTCGAAAGCCGAAGGCTTGTTTGCGAAGGTAAAGCATTTGGTTTTGAAAATATAATACAGTAATTTAAATGTTCTTATAGAAAAAATTTCAATGTCGAGAGTTAAATTCTAAATACCAAGACAAATGCTAAATTTTTAAGTCGAAAAGTAAAAGACATTTAAAAGCAAAAAATTTAAAGTCAAAAACTTTATATTACTTAATGCTAAAAAATTACTTCGAAATATATATATTTTTTTCTTTAAATCTAAATGTCTTAAATCAATTTTTATATTCATTATTTCTATATCAACTTCGAAATTACTTTCTCAAACAACGGATAAAATAATATTTCCGATTAAAAAAAAATTAAAATTCAAAACTTAATTTTCGAAAGTCAAAAGTTAGTTTTTGAAAGCCGAAAGCTTAATTTACATAAACTTTTTTATGTATAAAAACATATGTATTAAGGTCGAAAGTAAAAATTGCATTAGTCATAAAATGTATTTCGTTTTGAATAGATGAAAATTAATTCCTAAATATGAATTCAATGCGTTAGAATTCTATGAAGCTAATTAAATTTTGAGAGAAGGTACCGAATTTGGAATTTTTTAAAATAAGTATGTATAAATTAATATTATATATGTAAATAATTCGAGTCAAACTCCCTAACATACCAGTCATTGTCTTGGGTAATTTGTTGTGCACATGGACTGCGAATTGAAATGGTGTTTAGTGTGAAAAAAGGTGATAATATAAACACATGAATAAGTTCCGAGTATAATGATCAGAAATGTAAGTACGAAATAATAGAGAATATTTGATGCGTCTTGAGTTCAATTTCATTGACTGTCAGCGTGCCAACCAACTCTGCGGTTCTCGCCAAAATTTTTCACACGAAGAGTGTTGACATGGACTACATTTTTAAATTATTAGTAAGAAATAGAGCGACAATAGAAATAAATTAAATACTTTTTCAATTTTTCTATAATACCTCTTGAGTTACTTGTAATAGTTTCAATAAATATGCAAAACTACATTTTTTAATATGCTTTTTTCCCCCCAACGCATCATAAGCTAATTTTTATGCAAATTAAAAGGATCGGAAAACACTTTTTTTATTCTCTGGCATAAGAAGAGCAGCAGTTATAGTGAGAATCGGGTGAAACTCGTTAAATTGGAGTCCTTATAAAAATAGTGTTTTTTTTTACGAACTAATATAATCTCAGAAAATAGAACAACTTATAGAAGATCCAGCATAATGCCCTACCCTTTTCTCTATAAAAAAAATAATACTCAACAATTTCTAATCAGTGGTCCATGTGTTAGCAAAATGTCTGAAGGCAATGAAATTCACAGCTCGACAGCACTTGTTGCAGCATCAAATAGAACTACAGTTGAATGCAGTAATTCACATACAAATATTTTCTTTCAGGCGTCGACTATGTACGTTACGGTCAGCTGGAGGATATAGATCTCTTCAATACCAGCGCGAATAGTTTTCATAATCAAGTGTATGAGTATCGCAAAAGTCTACATGCCAATTTAGAAAATGGCGAGGGTGACGACAAAAAACCACCACTCTCACCCCTCATGCCACTGGGACAAAGCAAACTAAATGCAAATGGTGGTGAAGATGATGAGGATTATGTTGAAAATGATGAGATGGGCGATAATAGTTGGCTACCTGATGCACTAGACGGCACTAATGAATACAACGATACGGAGCAGTCGTATTATAATGATAGACTCGAAGCTGCTGGTAATGAAGAAGTTGAAGCTACTGCCGATATGGACGATGAAGAGCTTGACGCCGACGGCGGTGGTTTCGAGCAATATGCAGCACAACAACAGTCGGTGCGCTATAGTAATAAAGCACATTATGGCACTGAGGATTACATGAGTCAAGAAGAGCAAACACATGCACGTGATCGCAAGCTGGCAGCACTTATAAGAAAGTTGCCTGCGATTTGGTGTACTCGCCATCCCGACTATGGTAATTTTGAGGTGACACGCAAGCTTTGGCGCACCGTATCGTCGAATTTCAAACGTACCGAAAATATAAAATTACGTTGGAAGAATATACGTAAACGTTATGTGCGTGTTGAGCGACGCGTACGTGATGGTAAACGCTTCAATGGCTATTTTGATAAGACAACAAATTTCTTAGCCAATCGTGATCTGCCGGAAGACCAATGGATAGAGGTGGATTGTGGTACTGACGATGAAGATGGTGGCGCTAGTGGTAATAGCACCAAGGGAAAAGGTTTTGACTTGAAGAAGAAATTGAATGAAATCGGAAAACCACCTGGCTGGAATGATTGTATTCCTGCCGAAGCCGATAACTTTGAGATGCCGGAAGAATGTAATGCAAAGCCGATTGAAGTGCGTGCATTGGATATGAAAATTATGAATTTCGTAAAATGCAATCCAGTGCTATGGCGTAAACCTACTGATGTGCTATTCAATCAAGTGGAAGAAAAGTCACGCAAATACTTATGGAAACACCTGTGGAAAAATATGCGCTTACAAAGCAATCTTGCACATGGTCAGTTGGCGAGCAATGAAATTATAGTTTGTTTTTTTTTTCCAACTCTTCGTGTTTTTATTTTCTCTTGCAGACTTAACTCCCGAGGACATTATGGAGCGTTGGTCACATTTGTATGAAATGTACAAATCTTTTCGCTTAAAATCTATTAAAGACGAAAAAAAGAGAGCCAATTTGGAATTGAAATATTCAAAATATTTGGCAAAATTATATTTTCTTTATAAAATTGTGGAAGAAGATTTACGAAATGAACATTTGAATAACATTGATATTGACTTTACGAAAGAATCGAGTGAGGGCGAGGAGGATGAGCCTCGTTTGCAGGATGAACATGATGATAAAGAATTTATGCTGCAGCTAGTGCATGCTGTTCATCGTTACCCAATGCTGTGGGATCAAACGAACAATGATTACTCCGATACGGTACTGCGCGCAAATATTTGGGAAGATATAGCAAGCGAGCTAAAGGACTTCAAACGTAAGAGTAGATAATAGTTAGAAAAGCGTTATAAATTTTCATATACATATGTATGTGGGAATTTATTGCATTTACAAAATTAATAATATCAATAAAAGATTGTGAAAAGATTTTCTGTATTAATACATTACCTTTTATTTTATTTTTTAGGCAACGCTGATACAATTAAAAAGCGTTGGCAATTGGCGCTGTTTAGCTATAAACGTTATACGCGTGAACGTGGCAAATACACGGAGGATAAACTATTGCCGAAATATTGCCGAAATTTACCAGTGGCTGAAATGATTTTCCTTAAATGATCATCACATGAAGCTTAAGCAAAATAGATCTCCTTGATAAAAACTGAAAACTATATAATAATTAACCGTATATAAGCATTTAATATTAGTTGATAGAAATTTTTACAAATTATAAAATTTTTATTTACAAGTGAGTTTCTTTTTTCTTTATATGAGTAACATTTTAATTTATTTGCTTTCAAATAAGAATGCTTTATTTTTTTATTTATACAATTCATATAAACATGTAATAATGTCAAGAGCAGATTAAAGAAACCAAGTACTCAAATATTAAGGGAAATAAACGAGTATAATTACAGTAACAGTCTATATGTATGTATAATATCCAAGTTAATGCGCTGAATTTTAAAAATTCATGCCAATATCGAATGCAATGATAGTAAATGTAAAAGTATAAATGTAGTCACTATAGTGTTATAATAAATTATATATTTTTTTAAGCTGCTTTATTTTTACAAAAATCTTCTAATTTTATTTACTTCAGTTTATTTAATTTAAATGCTAATTTTGTATAAAATAATTTGATATATTTATTTTTTTTTTACTGCTGTTGCATATTTTCTTTTTAATTTTTTTCCAACAAATTTTAACTATTGTATTTAATTACATATATTTAAGTATTATAATTATGTATCTTGGGAATTTTATGCTAAGCCATTTAGTTGTATTCGAATATATAATGTATGAGAAGTAAATTTAAGAATTCGTAAAATGCATCATAATATACATGCAATGAAAAACATTTTTCTCTACCTTCAAAAACCGAGTTTCAATTGTTCTTTTTTATTTATTTATAATTTACCAAAAAAGTTTTACTGCAATTAACTTTAATAAACATTAGCTTTTTTTTTTTTATTAATTAACATACTTTTCTTCTCTTTTAAATCAGACAAACAGGCTAGCGACGATGAAGATAACGAAATTGAAATTGTGGAGCCCAAGACAGACACCATCACGCTCGACTCGGACAATGAGGACGAAGCGCAACCAAGCAAACAAACAGTTTCACCTAAAAAGCCTCAAATGCAATCAGTTGCAACTAGTACCATCAGCAATACTCCTCTGCTACGGCAGCAATGTCAACAAAGTCCCAGCATCAGCCCCGATAATATTAGACAAAAATTGATTTTGAAAGAACATCTGTCTCTGCCAAAAGGCACTACTATAATGCCAGCTGCGCTTGCGCCTGCGCCGAAGCCTGTGCCTGTACCTGTGCCTGTGCCTAGCTTAGTTCAAATATCAACTCCTAAAAGTATTGGCACCATAACTATTAATAAACCACAGGATAAAATGGAAGAAGTAGATATGATGACAGCAGCGAAGACCTTCCTCGTTAGCTTATTGGAAGTTGATTCGGATACAGGTGAGGGTGGTAGCGATTCAACCCAGCAGCAACAACGTAAGCAGCCACGTAAAAAGACTACCAATAAACCGAATCCGACTTTACTGAAGCAAAAGGAAATGCTCGAACGTGAACGTTTGGAGGAGATGAAACGCAACGACTTAAAATTAAAAATGAAATGTGCTATTTCATTGAAAAAAGCCGAAGAGGAGTATCCTTTCGCCAAGGATATGCTGGAGAGGCATGAAAATGAGTCAAAGACTGATGCTGCGCGAGTAGTGGATGCAGCTGAAACAGATGAGGCAGTAGAAAATAATGAAAATGACGAGAAGAAAGACATGAAGGATGGTGCTGAAATAGATTCTACGAAGCAGGACGATGCTGCGAATGAAAATGATGGCGGCGGTGATGTGGAAATACTGACTGTAGACTTAGAAAGTTCAATTGAAGAGGATAAAGAAAATGAAAATGAAATGTTGGATGGTAAAGAGTCGCCGACAGATAAAAATGCGGAAGATCACAGCAAAGAATTCACCATTGTTATGGATGACGATGATGATGACAAAGAGAAATCATTGATTATAGAGGTTGAAGGTGGCACCAATAGCGGCGAGAAAGAGCCACTCAAAGTGGTAATCGATGCAAAGACAATCAATGAGAACAGTGGCGATAAGTGGGTGGCTAATGATAAGACAGTGGGCGTAGGTGATAAGAACGCAAAAAATAAGTTGGAAACATCAGCACCAGCAACACCAGCAACACCAGCAACACGATCCTCTTCAACTGAATTGCCTACGGACGATGTTACTATAGCGTCCGTGGATGACACAATCGAACCGATATTAATTGATGAATCTGATGTAGGCGATTCAGTGGACTCGCCAATGAAGCAAAATAAACAGTCGGAAACTACCGTCACAGAGAAAAAGCAAACTGGCACTGCCGGGTATGTAGATATGTCAACAACAAAAACCACAATAACAACGACGAAAAAAGATGGTCTAATTGCATGTGCAATTAAGGCTGCCACGGATAATGAAAATATCGCTGAATTGAATGAGCCCGAGATTGACGTAGAAAAAGAAATAGAAGCATTGTTAATGAACAAATCGGAAGAGCCGGAGAACGAAAGGAATGCAGGCGCTGATACACCAAGTATAGCGGACGCTGCTCAAACCGACCAAACGCCAACAGCAAAAACGGTCACGTCCGAGTTGCTAAGTGATAGTGTAGATAATTTGATGGAAAGTGAGAGTGCGGCAGCACTGACGTAAGCCATGGAAGAGCCAACAGCGCTCGCGCTGAGCGATAGCAAGCAGTGGTTGCAACTGAATTTTTAAAATTCATATTTCTTAGTTTTTATCATATAGTTTATTACTTACATTTTTGTATTATGTAGTTTTAGCGCTTATACTAAGTTGTTGATGTATGTAACTGCGAATAATTTTGTAAAAAATAATAGACTATTATATCATTAAGCATTGTTTAATTTCGAATTTTTGCAGGAGAAATACATAACAATAAAACGGAAGGGCAAAGTTCGCTTACTCCATTGCTTAGTCTTACAAATATTGTTTTAAGTTTCATTCATCAATTATGGTATCGTTTAGAATTTGTAAATTTCTTGCAATTTATTATATTATATAAATTTGAAGTATCACTCTGAGTTTTCCACATGTACATACATATATAGTGTATATAGAGTTATTGAGCGAATGATACCATCATAAGATTAAATAAATACTTTATTTTTTTTATTTTTTATTTTTTACTGTTATTTTAAAAACGTGATTTGATTTAATGAATGAACATCAATAAATCACAAGTAAACATAATCCATGCGTCGAATCGGACCTTTTTGATATTGACTACTTAATTTAGAGTTGTAGATCCTTGCAAATACCTAAAATTAAGTTCAGCTCTCACCCTCACGCGCTCGATAGATCCTTATATTCGATATGGAAGATGCTTGCTGTTTTTCTGTATTAGGCAGAGCACTCTTATGTAGGTTTCAGTCGTCGGGCGCGATTTCGTCCGACCATATAACTATAACTTGCGCCCGTGGTAGCCGAGTGGTTAGCACGGCGTACTGGCAGTCGGAAAGCTCGGGTTCGTATCCCGGCGCAAACAACAAAAAAAATTAAGTTAAATTTTCTAAAGGTGAAAGAGATTGCAGATCTCCTTGCATCATATGCTTTGCTTTTCTTTCATTAAAGCTGGTTTTTAATTAGCGGGCCTCAAACTCAGTGTTAATGGATAAGCGAACTCCTTACCATAAGACCAGCGTTGTTGTTGTTGTAACCGTAAATTATTCCCCGAATCGAATCGTGAGTGATAGTCCTTGGTCAGATAAAAATCCGTGTCATTTCGGTATAAAGACCCGACTGTCGTGGGAACTATTGGATTTTGGTCGCCCCGAATGATAGGCATGCCTTGCCACGGAGCAAATTCTTGAGCTCCTAACCCGCAGGGGTCGTAAGACCAACCCTCGCTCGCTGCTGTAAACTGACGCTGCAATAAGACTTTAGGAAACCCTTAAACCGCATATACCAGCTTCCTACGGTCTAGTTACCGCATCTCATAGGATTTCCTAATTTCCTCTAAAATCAAGCACAATATAGGGAAAATTTAAAAACTGGCTGCTTAATAAGTAACAAGGGTATATTTCTGTCAATTTTGAATAGTCAATAAGAGGGTCGGAATTATTCGTAGTTATTTCAAAGTAGAGGTCAAATCTTAAACAATGGAGTTCACTTAGAGGTTCTCCCCAAAAAGAACTTTGCGAAGGCTTCAATGACGGAAAGAAAAGCTCACTGCAGAATTTCTACAGTGGCATAGACTTCACAACCGAGTCCGTAAGACTAAGGAAAGTGCTATCCAAGGCAACCAGGGTTCAATGACTTATAAAATCTGAACACATTATTGAAAATTCTATCGTGTCTAAACATTCCTTGATGGTTGGTTTATAATCAAGAGGAGACAACCCTGACATTTTCCGTGTATCTAGTCCATGTCTTGCTAAGTTGTAGGAATATCCAAGACCAATATGGATTAGACGTGATGACGCGGCATGTCCACGGTGGAACTTCACAGGGTTGAGTATCATCACCTCTGCTATGGACGCCTGCAGTTAATGGCTTGCTAAAGGAGATGGAAAGGAGAGCTGCCCCTCACGCAGTCTTCCGTTTCAATTTCTGGTGAATGAGGCACATAGAACTATTAATAACTGGAATATTTCATCAGGTTAATAGTGATGTAATGACGTGCTTTTATTCACAAGGGACAAAATTCCAGAGGCTATTTTACACCTGAAACTTAGCATAAATATCTGGGAGTTGTGTGAGATGGTAAGTTGTCGTGGAGACGGAATGTGGAATAGCGTGGGCAGAATGCGTAATTGGCTCTATATACCTTTAGAAGGGTATTGGATGCATTTACGGTCTATTTCTCAGTATCTTTCTCTGGATTTGCGATGCTTTGGTATAGTGGAAGGCTATAAACAAATTATCATATCTAGATAGACTGGAAAGGGTCTTCAGATTTTCAATGATTAGCATTAGCTTTCAAAGCATTACAGAAGTGAAGCAATTGCTTCGTCAGGGGAATAGACTTTGCGAATCTCCTACGGATTCCAGAATAACGAAAACTGAATACAAAACTAATGATACTAAACTAACAAAGTTTTTACTACCGGTAAAAAGACCGAATTTTAGACTCCTGGTAGGACTGCGTAGGGCGTTGTCTTTTAGCGTCCCTTGCCTTTATAGGTCCCCAGCAAAGGCGGCTATGTAGAGAATGTATTCCGACAGTGGAGGACGAAATTTGTGATTATCTAGCATTTGACAAAGCCGTGCTTACATGGCGCAGAAAGGCTACAAGACCTTCAATTGGCAATAGGCCAGGGGGCCGGAGGACTGCTTCAATTTGCAAACAGCAATGTTCTTCACACTAGAGATACAATAAAAGTGTAACGGTGCAGTTTGGTGGTATGTAGTGTGTGTGGCAATAACAAGTAGGAGGAAATTGTCAGCTTTTAGATTCGTAAACAATCATTTGATGATTTTTTGATACTAATATTTCCGGTATTCTGCTATTTATACGAGTGTATCGATATTCACTAAGATATTTTAGTCGTAATAAAATACATTCGTTCAATAGTTTTCCCTTAAATAACATTTGAGGTTATGTATGAAATAAGAGTAAAGCATGAAAACAAAATTGTTGTGTGGAAATAGGAAATCAAATAGAATATAAAATTAAATTAAATTAAAGCTTTACAAAAAAAATATTGAAAAATTTACTATTATTACAGATTCGATTTATGATTGCGGTTATGGTTCAAGAGTGTTTGAGATTCGTGGGAAAAGTCTACTGATTGAGTTACAGCCACGGAAATTTTGTGTTATGAGCCAAAATTTAGCAGGAATACCCGGCACGCGACTTCAGTAAGAGAACTGGCGCCAACGGCTACACGGACTTTATTTTGATTAACAAAAACTCGGCTTTCTTTCAGCGTGGACGTAGAGAATATGTTTGAATGCTATTGTGAGTTGAATTGCCCAACATTTGCCACCAACAACAATCAAAATTACAACAACCAAAACCAAAATAATCAAAATTTAGCAACAATAACGGCAAAGTATCCCACGAATTTTCGTGATGACAAAATTCTAAAGATGGTTCAATTATTTGCTTTTATTCCTTGTGAGTCTGAGAGGTAAGTAGGCGGATATTAACTAATGCGTACAGATAAGTGTAATTACGTACACAAAATGTACTTGAAATTTTTCCAGCGATGCAGTCGGCACATTTTCCTTTGTGCTGACAGCTGAAGATTTCCTATGGCGATTCTGCTTTTGCCGTTATAATTTGGATGTAAATTCTATTATGGTGATACTTTCCCGCCTGCCCTGGCATGATACCTTCTTCAAAATGCTCTCTACGCTTACGGATCTTAAGGGCCGAAATTCAAATGAATTTAATTCATTTCTCACGAGTTGTTATAAGGCAAAAGTGCCAACACGGGGAGAGATGACGCTTGTTGCGATTGGCGGGAGTCGCAGGGTAAGTTCTTTTGTATATATATAATTGCTTAGGCGAATTCCTTCTTGGATTTATGTAAATGGAGGGACCTTTATGTAAATGGAGGAACCTGCAATTTCAACCCGATCTTTTCTTTAATACTTCTATTTGCAGGTCTTTGCACTGGAACAGCCATCGTTTTATAAGTTGCCTGCTATTCCCGATAATGTGAGGTCCATAAATCACGTTACATAAATATAAATATGAATATGGTTATCTACTTTATTTTTCACAATCCCTTTTCCAGCACAATTTAACTGTATTTTATCAGTCGGCAACGCCTAAAAATATGTTAGCTTTAATAGCATCACTCATGCAAGAACGTCGCATTATAATCACATCTAGTAAGCCGGATAGACATTCTGCGTGTGTACAAGCCGCTAATGCATTACTCTATCCTATGGAATGGCAACATATCTTTATACCAATATTACCAATGCAATTACGCGACTACCTTATGGGGCCCATGCCCTATCTGATTGGTGTCCATACCTCTGTGCTAGACACGGTGAGTGCAGAAAGTTCTGGCAATTAGCTTTGGGTTAACTAAATGTTTGTGATATCTACTCGTTAATCTTCAGATTTGCAGAGGCGAGCTTGGTGATGCGATCATTTTCAACTGTGACCTGGGCACTTATGAAAGTTGTCGTGATGACGTTCAGTTATTGCCGAAACATATAGTGTTGGATGTGAAAAATGACTTGAGGCAGGCACACCAAAAACGTGGTGAATACATTTCATATGTCTTTCTTGTAATGATGGTGCGTTTGTTGGGTCATTATCGCGATGGCATTAAATTTGAATCGGATGCCATATTCAGTGAAGCTGCCTTTCTGTCTAAACGACATCCGTCAAAACGTAAATTTCTACGTACATTTTTGTACACTTCAATGTGTGTTCACTTCGTCGCAACACGCTTAAGTATGCTGAGACAGGAACCGGTGATATGGGATCGATTTGAAATGGAGTGTGCCTTGCATTCGCAACACAAGAAGCGACGTTGCTGCGGTCGTTCTAAGAAAAAATTTAAAGAAACTAATGAAATATATTTACCACTAAATAGTTTTCAAAATCAATTATTTAAATGTTTGGAAGTAACGGAGTCAATTAAATTAGAATTAGAACGTTTGAGAAAATCCAAAGAATACGAAAATGCCAAAACGCATGCCGATATGAGGGAATTATTTGAGAGTCTGCGTCACATACTAGTATATGGCTCTTCAGCATACAGCAGTCTGCAGGCACAAAATGCCGAGGAATTGAAAAATCTGGGATACACGGAAATCCGTAATAAGTTCATATACGAATTATAGAAAATATATAAATAAAATATTGCTTTCATAATTCCAGATGCAAAATCAAGATCAACTGACATGGCAATTCCAGAGAAAATGGGTAGCTCTAAAACACGCTACAGCGGCTGAATTCGCTGATCAAGAAAATCAATTTTGAGTTCATGTAAAATTAAATTGAAGCAAAAATATAAGTTGTGTTTGGATAAAGGCCTTTTCTCTAGAAGTGCTCACATATAGGGTAGGCAAAAGTTATAAACGAAATAAGCAAGGTAGAATTGTAGTTGCTTTCACTGGTAGCAAGAAAGCTTCTGATTCTGAAGAAATTATAAGTTAAACCATTAATTCGAACAGCGATATATCACTTTTTCTTTTATCCTATCCTCTCATTAATCCAAAACTTTTTAATATTTCTACAACTACTAATGGTCTCTGCTCTTCCGTTTCCGCTTCTTAAAGCAGTATCTTAAAGTTGCCAACGTCGATGATTGTAAATTTCCCAAATGAAATTCAAATTTCCCATACGTAGTGTGGCAACGCCATTGAACTTTGACAATCATCTGATTTGAAACTGACATTTCATATATCTTTTTGCGTTCATTTTCACAACTCGTATTTTTTTACCGTCACAGTTTCTTGCTTTTGTCTCGGGGACATTATTTTTTTAAAGTCTAGCTTGATAATGAATTTAAAACTAAGCATAAACGAATAAATTTTTAATTTCGAAAGCATAAAGGTCAACAAAGGAAGTTTGTAAAGTAAAGTCTAGTCCGTGGACGGGTATATAGGAAAGTGCTGTGCGTGGAAAAAAATCTTTTTGTAAATGTGCGGAAATCGAGAGTGACGTAGTGCAGAAAAATCAAAGAAAAGATAATAAGAATCAGAAAAATTTAAATAAATTGCAGTATATTGCAGATTATTGATATCGTGTTACTGCAGACAAGTAGAATAATATATTTTATATAGATTTTGTAGCGTTAAATTGTACGGAAATATTACATATTATGATTATTTTATAATATATGTAATAAGTGGAAATTTTGTGTGGCAGCAGGGCGGCGACTGCAAAAAGCAGCGATTATGAGTTCCCGTATAAAGTGAGTGTCCACAGCTATATTATTTGACATCATGCGATTTTGATTTCCTTTTACTGAAATGTGAAAAGAATAAATACATATATAATGTCTAAGTTCCTATCAATCTACCATCATGAACTGACTGCGATTTGACTTGTAACCATGAGAAACTATTGCAACGTCAGAGAGTGCCTTCACTTATTGTCTCAAGTTTACGCTAAGTTTCATATCTATGTCTAGGGTAATGTGAGTGTCACGCTAAATAGATGCCAGTAAATCAGTGGGCGTTACGGTCCAGTGCATTATTCCCCTACTTGTCCAACTTGTCTAGTGGGAATTTTTTTTTAATTTAAATGAGGATTTAAGCAAAAACGTGATCCGTCTAAAGTGATTTGACTTGATATTAATGAGTGGACTTTATTTTATAGAATTACACTGTCTACATCTTTTTATTATGTATTAAATAATTTGAGCTTACAAAATGTAAAATTGTGTTTACAGAACGGATGTAAAAAAACTATTCGAATTTTGGTGTGAAGTCGCGCTCGTACAGAATGCAGATAAAGGGAGCACACCAACAGGCGGCAATCATACATCTTCGTCATGTGTCATTGTCGAAAGCTTTCCAGAGGGATATCGCGACGAGAAGACAATGGCTGATATACCCGCTTTCGCGTTTCCCTGCAAAATCGAGGGGTGAGTAAATGAAACATAAAATTAATAAATAAAATATTAATAATATAGTAATTATGTCATATTACAAAAGCAAATACGTGTAAGTATTTGTATACAAAGGTAGGTATAGAGCATTTTGAAAGGGCATTTATGGAAACTGTAAGAAGAGTGTGCGGGTATAAGAACTTCCGGTGAGTTTAATCCAGCAGGCATTGTAGTCACGTTCGTATGAGCAGCACACTATACACATTAGTTCGTACGTAAATATTTTATACATATGTATGTATGTATTTGGGCTATGTACATAAATGCAGAGTTGATTGCATACATTTACAAATTTGATTACATTTCCTTACCACATTTTGCTGTCCTTCATTCCACAACAATCTATAAAATGCTATTATTGTACTAGCGTGCATTTATGTGTTTTTATGTACCAACTTTAATAGGTACTTTTACATGTTTGTTTGTATGTAAGGTATTTACTTTCGAGTTGGCCAATGCTCTTTGCCATGCGTCGACTGGTCTATGATTCATTCATGTACTCACCCATTGTGATACCTGTGTCTACTTAGCTATGTATATGTTTGTATGTGTGTTGATATTTTGTTATTCAATGCATACGCTTCTATTGATGCAAGCATAGCAGTTTTTACATTTTTGTATTTGCGCACGGTAACTTTAACTTTATTGACCAATGAGCGCAAAATCGCGAAGTTTTGTAATTAATATTACAAAATTGCTATAAGTGGTTTGCTTCAAAGTTAAAAGCCATATACGAGTAAGCATATTAATACCAAATTACAACAGCATGCCTTTCTTTCCCCTTCTGTAAAACAAAAGTTGTAATTAATTAACAAACCGATCATATTTTCCTCATCTTCATATTCACTGATAAAGAAAACAGCGGCAGCACTAAAAAGATAGACACACTTATATTTATAACAAGCAAAGTAATTTGCTTTAAATATTACTTTGTAGTGTTAGCGTCTTAAATGAAACATAATCTATACCCCGGTTTCATCACAATAATTTTACGGAAAAAGCATCGGTTTTCCGAGAAGCTTTGGAAATTCAAATTTTGGAATTTATTATCATTCATCAAACATTTTTTTTCAGCCGTAAAACTGATACTTATATAATTAAAATATATATTTATTAAACATATATATATATATATAAATTATAACGCCTCAAGTAAATAGCAACTTATTTTCCGAAACACCTTTAATGTTGTTGTTAAAAAAAATGTATTATGCAAACCACTTTGCTCACATAGTTTTGTTGGTTATCACGCACACCTGTTGACAATGTCTGGAAACATATGCACATTTCTATATATTCGTCATTTTACTTGAAAAGAAGTAATAAAAAAAGGCGTGCGTGTCCAATCATATACAACATGCATGTAAATGTACTTAAATGTATAACTAAACAATTATTAAGCGGCTTATTCAACTCTACAACTTTAGATCAAACAGTAAAAATACATAGTGAGAAATATATATTTTTTCTACTTCCTTAAATTTTATTTATTTAAACTTATAGTTAATGGCAACAAAAATTTGCTTTGGAAACTAATGCAATTATAAAAGTAAAGGCATTAATATAGGGTAAGTGTGCTAGTGTGCGGACACCACCTAGTAGTCGGAGATTTTTATTATGGTTTGTTTTACAAACTGTTAATAAAATTATATCAAAGAGGTTAATTTATAATCTTGTAAGAAGTTTAAAAGGATCCCTGCAGGAAAAAAAAATGTTCTTAAACAGAATCTAATTAGTTTACATTTCTACATCAACTCGTTAATCTTCCATCTGCGAACTGTCAATTGTCTGCCTATGCATCAGCTTCATACTACTTAAATACCAGTCACTTTTTACAGTTGCTCAAAATGCCAAAAACCACAATAATTTGCGTTTATTGTTATTATTGTTTGGAAAAGTCTAATAATGTGTGATCGAAGCTTCCAGGTACTTATGATTTCTACTTTTTTTATGCAAAATGACAAACTGGTATAAATTTGTCTGCAAAAAAAAAATGGAATTCATATACTATAGTTTTGACAAACTAGTCCAGATTTTACTGCAAAATACTTGTATAGTTCTAGGCTATGTTAAACTAGTATATTTTTGTCCTTTAAATACTAATATAATTCTGGTTTACAGCAAACTAGTATAAATTCGTCTTCAAAGTATTAGTATTGAACTAGAATTTTACATACTAGTCATGTAATTGGGAAAAGTAATTTTTTTATTATTTTTTTTTTGTGGAAGAGATATTTTTAAATAAATAAGTTATATAAATAGATGAGAGTGTTTACTTCAATGATAACCAATGTACGTTCAGTATATATGTATATGCTTTTTTTTAATTACCTTTTTATAAATTCGACTGAGTGGAATGAAAATTATGTTCATTTTGAATATACGCACAGTGAGTTCGGTAACTGAAAATGTATGTAAAAAATATTTCTTACAGTGTCCAGATTGTCCATTACTTCATTATTCTACACCTAATATTTCCTTTAGATATTTATTAAAATAAGTAGTTAATAAGTTGGCGGAGAAAAATACCACATATTAAAGAGAATATATGTAGTATGTGTGGTAGCATTTACAGCATCACAAAGTCTTCTTCACAAGGTCTTCAATGCTAAAAATCCCAGAGTTTTCTTACAAATTGGATTTAGAATCATATTAAAAAAAGAAAGCACATAAACATAAACAAATAAAATTATTAAAGTAGCATTGTTTTTACAATATTTACCTCCACCATTTAATATTGTCTATTTTAGTCATAACGAGGTGCTACTCCTTCATCAATTGTAGATTCGATCAGATATTTAGAGGCGGTGAAAATTTACTCCTCTTTTGGCAGATCGTGGTGAGGTACTATTTCCCGCCCGTATGGATATAAACTTCTTTTCTGTGACAGCTATCTACCCTCTCTCTGGATATGTAGTTTCTAGTACTTCCTTCACTGCCTCTGAAACCCTTTTGAAGACGAACGTATATCAAAAACCACGTCCAATTTTATTTCATTTTTTGTAAAATATCCCTTGTGATAATTTATATTTATTTATTTTTTTGTTAAAAGTATAGTCTTACAATGAATATATTCACTCTTTTATGAAAACTATTAGTTTTCAATAAAAATTACTCTTAAATGGGTGTCCCCTTGCTGGATTTTTATTGTCCGTTCATTAAAAAAAAAGTTTACTCACTAGAGAAATACGACTTCGTTATTTTGTAAATCTGTCTTAAAAAAAAAACAATTATTATTGCAAAAATTCCCCCGTATTAGATTTAGAATTAATTGCAGGTCATAAATTGGTACCAACTGTCCTCCGGTAACTAGCACATTTACCCTAATTATCATTATCATATTCTCCAAACAAACTGCTCAACTTTTTCAAGGACAAATCGTTACAATGCTCTTTTACATATTTAAACAAAAAAAAAAAGAAAAAGAAAAACTATTGCATTATACAATTTTATGTCTCGAAAATAAAAAAAAGCAGCCAACACATATTTCATGATAGAGCTCGCGTGCAGCTTAGTCTTGAGTGTTTGGCCGGTAGTGGCACAGCGCCGAAGCAACTTATGAATAACCAAATTGGATGTATTTTTAAATTTTATTTACATTTTTTTTGTATATTTATATTATTCATACGATTAGTCACAATCTGGTATCTTGTAGATAAGACCGTTTTCTACATATGTATATATGTGCATACATGTACGAGTATCAGTGTATGTCTGTATGTTATGTAAGTAGTATATACCATATGTTCATGCTTTTTTGCATATGTCCAAATGTATATTTGTATGTATGTATGTATGTATGTAAAAAGCGGGCTTTTCCACATGTCGATGTTTGGCTTTGTCCACCTTCCGCCAAAGTTTTGTTGATAATCCGATTTTTATTTTCGAGACTTGTGTTTGTTTATTTTTTACTTTTGTTTTACTACGCTATACATACATATATTATACATAGTTTGTTTTGCTTTAATTTCTCACATCCGACCGTTTTTAATTAATTCATATTTTATTTTGCCTTTGCTATTTATATAACACTGTGTTTATGTTGTTTTTGTTTATGTGTTTTAATTATGAATATTAAAAGTTTCGTTACTTTGCTTGGAGTTTATTTTCATTGTGTCTTGAGAAACTGTTAAATTATACATATGAATTAATAAATCAACACAAATTGTGATTTAGAAAGCATGTATTAGGGTGGTCAGTTTTTTTTACTTTGATGGCATATTTGGCCTTATTTTGAATCTTATGAACCTTTTTAAAATGAAGCTTTCTCTATAGGTTTCATTTTTGTATATTATTTGTTTATAACCTGGTCTCTTATGACACGTTTGAAAAGGAAATGAAATAAAACTAATAAACTCATACAAGCACCTTGTCAGACCTTCGCGACCATGCTTGACTAGCTCAACCGGTCAAGAATGGGTCGAGTTCGTTCCGTTTCAGCAGCATATCGCAGGCGTTGATTCGGTTCAGAAGGTTTTTTTGCGTCAAATTATGCGGCACCCAAATATCAAACTTTTTTTTGTATCCAGCCTTCTGCAGATGGTTCAAAATGGTTTGGCGACTAACTCCCATCTCCCGGGGGATGTCACGAGATGCCATTTGCCGGTCTAACTCGATGTATTCCATGATTTGATCGGTATTTGTCGTAACAGGTCTTCCGCCGGCTGGCTTATCTATGGTGTCGTTTTCACTTAATCTCACGGAACGTTTCTTTAGCGGATTTGCTTTTAACGAAGGAAAACTTTAAAATAGCGCGAATTTCGCCGTTAGTGAACTCCATGCTTACACGTCTATAACTGTTGAACGCAATATCCAAACTAATCATGCATAGCGTTGTTTTGTAGGTTATGTCAAGACCTTTCAAATTATGTATATCTGTACCGCTTTGTACATAGCCGCGAAATTCAAAAGACAAAAAAGCGAAAGGGAGATATTTGACAAACTTATATTTAGAGAAATCAATTCAATAAAAGGTG